TTGAATGAGAGGAAAGTGATCAGGAATAGTCAGCATGGATTCACAAAGGGCAAGTCGTGCTTGACCAATCTGATTAGCTTCTATGATGAGGTAACTGGCTCAGTGGACATGGGAAAGTCAGTGGATGTTATATACCTTGACTTTAGCAAGGCTTTTGATACGGTCTCCCACAATATTCTTGCCAGCAAGTTAAGGGAATGTGGATTGGATAAATGGACGGTATGATGGATATGATGAGGTAACTGGCTCGGTGGACATGGGAAAGTCAGTGGATGTTATATACCTTGACTTTAGCAAGGCTTTTGATACGGTCTCCCACAATATTCTTGCCAGCAAGTTAAGGGAATGTGGATTGGATAAATGGACGGTATGATGGATAGAAAGATAGATAGATAGAAGGCCGAGCCCAGCGGGTAGTGATCAACGGCTTGATGTCAGGATGGCGGTCGGTTTCTAGCGGAGTGCCTCAGGGATCAGTTCTAGGGCCTGTTTTGTTCAATATCTTCATTAATGACCTGGATGAGAGGATGGATTGCACCCTCAGCAAGTTTGCAGATGACAGTAAACTAGATGGACCTTTTGTCTAACCCAGGTATGACTGTTGTTATGTATTTATGTTCTCTTTTTGTCTTATGACTGCAGAAGTATTAATAGGCCACTCTACCTTAAATGATCCTTTATATTATTTGCTAACTACTTATGCTAAAAAATCTGTTCCACCTCACATTTTCTTTGGGTGCTGAGAGTACCTTTCCTAGAGTAGAAAAACAATTCTGTGTGGCTTGCAAGCTCATCTCTTTCATCAACAACAGTTGGCCCAATGGAAGGTATTACCTCACCCAACTTGTTTCTCTGTATTTTAACTCTGCCACTCACCAATCTCGTCTATACTGCTTGTGACCTTAACCTCAGTGAAGAGCTTTCTCCCATTCCAACTCAGCACAGGCAACTTGATAAACCCTCAGACTTTGGCTGGATCCAACTCCTCAGACTGGAGAACCGTTATTAACAATTCACAATCCTGCTGGAAAGGTATAACAAGTGGGGTTCCGTAGGGGTCTATTTTGGGACTGGTTCTGTTCAATATCTTCATTAATGATTTAAATATTGGCATATGCTTATTAAGTTTGCTTATTAAGTTTGCAGATGATACCAAGCTGGGAAGGAATGCAACTGCTTTGCAGGATAGGGTCATAATTCAAAATGATCTGGACAAATTGGAGAAATGGTCTGAGGTAAACAGGATGAAGTTTAATAAAGATAAATGCAAAGTGCTCTACTTAGGAAGAAGCAATCAGTTTCATAGAATCATAGAATCATAGGACTGGAAGGGACCTCCAGAGGTCATCGAGTCCAGCCCCCCACCCTCAAGGCAGGATCAAGCTCCGTCTACACCCGTGGTCACCAACCAGTAGATCGCAATCTACCGGTAGATCTCAGGGGCTCTAAGAGTAGCTCTTGAGCCCTCTCTGAACTGCACACCTGCACAGTACATTTACATTAGATTTCCTCATGTAATGTAGGCGGGGCTTCAAGGAAGGGGCGGGCAGTAGATCTTCACCTGTTCTGAGACTTAAAAAATGATCTTGGGTGTAAAAAGGTTGGAGACCACTGGTCTACACCATCCCTGACAGATGTCTATCTAACCTGTTCTTAAACATCTCCAGAGAGGGAGATTCCACCACCTCCCTTGGCAATTTATTCCAATATTTGACCACCCTGACAGTTAGGAATTTTTTCCTAATGTCCAATCTAAACCTCCCTTGCTGCACTTTAAGCCCATTACTCCATGTCCTGTCCTCAGAAACCAAGAGGAACAAATTTTCGCCTTCCTCCTTGTGACACCCTTTTAGATATTTGAAAACCGCTATCATGTCCCCCCTTAATCTTCTTTTTTCCAAACTAAACAAGCCCAGTTCATGAAGCCTGGCTTCATAGGTCATGTTCTCTAAACCTTTAATCATCCTTGTCGCTCTTCTCTGTCCCCTTCATCTTTCTTGAAATGTGGCGCCCAGAACTGGACACAGTACTCCAGCTGAGGCCTAACTAGTGCAGAGTAGAGCGGCAGAATGACTTCACGAGTTTTGCTTACAACACACCTGTTGATACAACCTAGAATCATATTTGCTTTTTTTGCAACAGCATCACACTGTTGACTCATATTCAACTTGTGGTCCACTATGACCCCTAGATCCCTTTCTGCCATGCTCCTTCCTAGACAGTCGCTTCCCATCTTGTATGTATGGAACTGATTGTTCCTTCCTAAGTGGAGCACTTTGCATTTCTCTTTATTAAACCTCATCCTGTTTACCTCTGACCATTTCTCTAACTTGCTAAGGTCATTTTGAATTATGTCCCTCTCCTCCAAAGAAGTTGCAACCCCACCCAGTTTGGTATCATCTGCAAACTTAATAAGCGTACTCTCTATCCCAATATCTACATCATTGATGAAGATATTGAACAGTACGGGTCCCAAAACAGACCCTTGAGGAACTCCACTTGTTATCCCTTTCCAGCAGGATTTAGAACCGTTAACAACAACTCTGTGACTATGGTTATCCAGCCAATTATGCACCCACCTTATCGTGGCCCTATCTAAGTTATATTTGCCTAGTTTATCAATAAGAATATCATGCGAGACCGTATCAAATGCCTTACTAAAGTCTAGGTATATGACATCCACCGCTTCTCCCTTATCCACAAGGCTCGTTATCCTATCAAAGAAAGCTATCTGATTAGTTTGGCATGACTTGTTCTTCACAAACCCATGCTGGCTATTCCCTATCACTTTATTACCTTCCAAGTGTTTGCATATGATTTCCTTAATTACCTGCTCCATTATCTTCCCTGGGACAGACGTTAAACTGACCGGTCTGTAGTTTCCTGGGTTGTTCTTATTCCCCTTTTTATAGATGGGCACAATATTTGCCCTTTTCCAGTCTTCTGGAATCTCTCCTGTCTTCCATGATTTTCCAAAGATGATAGTTAAAGGCTCAGATACCACCTCTATCAGCTCCTGGAGTATTCTAGGATGCATTTAATCAGGACCTGGTGACTTGCAGACATCTAACTTTTCTAGGTGATTTTTAACTTATTTTTTTATTTTATCTTCTAAACCTACCCCCTTCCCACTAGCATTCACTGTTCGGCATTTCTTCATCAGACTTCTCGGTGCAGACTGAAACAAAGAAGTCATTGAGCATCTCTGCCATTTCCAAGTTTCCTGTTACTGCTTCTCCCTCCTCACTGAGCAGTGGGCCTACCCTGTCCTTGGTCTTCCTCTTGCTTTTAATGTATTTATAAAAGGTCTTCTTGTTTCCCTTTATGCCTGTAGCTAGTTTGATCTCATTTTGTGCCTTTGCCTTTCTAATCTTGCCCCTGCATTCCCGTGTTGCTTGCCTATATTCATCCTTTGTTATTTGTCCTAGTTTCCATTTTTTACAGGACTCCTTTTTTATTTTGAGATCATGCAAGATCTCCTTGTTAAGCCAAGCTGGCCTTTTCATACATACAAAATGGGAAGCATCTGTCTTGGAAGAAGTACAACAGAACCTAGGTGTTATAGTGGACAACAAGCTAAATATGAGTCAACAGTGTGACATTGTTGCGGAAATAGCAAACATGATTCTAGGATGCAACAACAGGTATGTTGTGAGCAAGACATGATGAATCATTCTTCTGCTCTACTCTGTGCTGATTAGGCCTCAGTTGGAGTATTGTGTCCAGTTTTGGGTACCACATTTCAAGAAAGATGTGGAGAAATTGGAGGAGGTCCAGGGAAGAGCAACAAGAATGATTAAAGGACTGGAGAACATGACCCATGAAGGGAGACTGAAAGAATTGGGCTTGTTTAGTTTGGAAAAGAGAAGATTGAGGAGGGACATGACAGCCGTTTTCAGGTATCTAAAAGGGTGTCATAAGGAGGAGGGAGAAAAATTGTTCTTCCTGGCCTATGAGGATAGAACAAGAAGCAATGGGCTTGAACTGCAGCAAGGGAGGTTTAGGTTGGACATTAGGAAAAAGTTCCTAACTGTCAGGGTAGTTAAACACTGGAATAAATTGCCTAGGGAGGTTGTGTAATCTCCATGACTGGAATATTTAAGAGTAGGTTAGATAAATGTCTATCATGGATGGTCTAGACAGGACTGGGTCCCTTCATGAGGGTAGGGGACTGGACTCGATGACCTTTCGAGGTCCTTTCCAGTCCTAGTATTCTATGATTCTATGACCCAGATCCAAATGTCATACCAAGTACTAGGTCTATGAATCAAAGCAGAACCCTGATTGTAAACAACAGTACACTGGGATCTTATTCCCAGATCTGAATTTTTGAAGCTAATGGTATTATTTAAAGTTATTTAGAAAAAAAGGCTTGTGAATCATTTAGCAGTTTTTATGCAATCAAACAGTATTTTATCACTACTTAATACTTGAGCCTACACAATGCTACATGCTCTATCTTACTTTGAAATCAATGGATTTGATGGGTGTTAAAGTGCTCTGACTCTTTCAAGACTGTACCCTTATTTAGGTACTACAAACAGATAATAATAGTAACATTATGGTTTATAAATAAATTAAGCAGAAAAAATACTTTTTTTGCTTAAAGGTCTAATTTTACCACATGGCACTTAGTAAAATATATTAAAATACTTCAAAATAAAAACATTTTTGCAATTTTTTACATCCTTTTTAAAATCAAGATTTTAAAATATTGCATCTTTGGTGGGAAACTATACTTAACAGAAGGTACTTCAAAGAACTTATTCTGAATGAATATACCAAATTTTTTCAGAATACATCTTAAGAACAGAATCACCATGTAGCAGATGTAATAAATCTATAGACATTTCACTTGCATTGCCTCTAGAGAATACAAAAAAGATAATAGGTGATTTATCTGTTGACTGTAAACATGTACAGCATTTAATGGAGACTTTCATTTCTTTGATATACATTCAATTTCTTTTTTTTAAATAGAGAGAGAATATGTCAACTACCTTCATCTCAATTTGTTTGGTGTCTATATTCTGAAAAAGCAGCTTTACTTTTGTTTTTCCATCATCTGAAGATCCCTTGAGTTGAGAGAATTTAAACCTCCAGAGCACATTCTGCAAGAAATAAGTTAATTAGCATTTTAACATTATACTGATATACCCAGAACTTTGTATTACTGAGAAATTTTGATGAAACATCAAGAAGTTAAATCTAAGGTAAAAATAAGTGATGGATTAATAGATTTTGAGCCAAAGGTTGGTTGCATAATAAATATAATTTATTATTTCTACTTCGTACATCAGAGCAAAAAGATACAATTTTTAGCACTTCCTTTATGCAACGTAAAGAATCAGCCAGAAATAGTCTGAAAGCTCAGATGGGCTACCCATAAAAAGGTATACAGAGATTAGGATAAAATCTTGTGCCAATTAAAGTCAATGGAAGTTTTGCCATTGACGTCACTGGGCCAGGATTTAAACTCAGACCTTAAATCTCTCGAGCCTCACTTGGCTCAGTTTTACAATGAGGGTTATGATACTTCCATATCTTACGCCAATATTGCAAAGCTTAATTTTAATGTGTGCAAAGTGGTTTGAAATCTTAGCTGAAATGTGCTACAGAAATGCAAAGCACTATTATGTGTGCTATTCAGTCATTTGCAAGCCAAGAAATAAGAATCCCCAAGGTGTGTGCCAGCCTCAGGTCTCTTAATAGTAATACATGGTGCTGTGCTAAAAGTGAACCACTGGGTTTACTGGGGTATTTTAAAAAAAATCACAGAGGGAGACTCATTGAAATCGTTCTTTGGAAATTAATTATGTTAAAATCACTGTAATTTTCTGCACTTCTCAAAATGTTTTTTGTGCATTAGAGTTAGAAAAGTAAAAAAATGAAACCAAGCAATCAGAGTACAATTTCCTTCTGATGTATCTGTAACATCCAGTCACATTAATGGAAATTCCTATATATGTTAAGGTAAGACTTGATCCCTTAGAGCTGGTGGAGAAAATATGGCTCATTCTGAGCTGAATGCTTTGAAAGGCATTTAAAATGAAATGATGTCAGAAAAGCAGTGTTCTTTTTTTTAAAAAAATCTTGCTTTTGAAAAACTATCTGATTTTGCAAGATGTTTCCCTCATATGGGCTATCAGTATGTTTCCCCTGGAAATAGCAGACTTTTTTACTGTAAATATTTTTCAAAATTTGGAAGATAATACTGATTTGGACCAGGAAACTGCTTTGTGGATGCAGCTCCAATTAGGACAGGAAGAAATGTCAAGTCCTCTTTGGTGGAGTTTAGATTATTTTCACTTACTCTGAAGATTAGGCATGGCCTTAGACCCCATACATTCTGGGCCTCATGTTGCCCTGTGCCCACCCGCCTGGCAACATGCTCACTGCCCTGGCTGGGAGCCACCTGGCTGGGTGGCATAGCCAATCACAGAGATAAAAATGTGTC